GTTTATCCGGCCCCGAGCCGGTGCGCGCCGACTCCGCGGCTCTGTGGGACCTGCGGGGGGGCGGGGGACCGACGCGGGGAAGGACGCTGATGCTGACCTCCCTGGAGGCCAGAGCAGGAGCGAGAAAGGTCGGCGGAGGGAGCCCTAGGGACATGCCTTCCCACACCCCTTCCGCCACCACGCTTAAGCCCACTTCAGCCTCTCACGGCCCAGCCGCCAAAACCTCAAACGGGGTCCCCGCATCCGCCCCGGGATCCCCGAAGGCCTCCCCCACCCCGCGCCCGCCTCCGGCTCCAGCTCCCGAGGGGGGAGCGGCTGCTCCTCCTCCCGCAGAGGAGGGGAGTGCCTCCTCAAGCCGGGCTTGCCCGGGATGCTCCGCTCCCAGCGCCCTCTGTCTCCGCAAGGGACGTCCCGCGCTTGCCGCCCGCTGCCCTCGGGGGCCTCCCTTCCAGCAACAGCCGGGAGCTCTGTCGAGAGACCTGCGGCCTCTAAGCCGAGGAGCAGGCTTGAAGATCCCAGGAGGTAGACTAACGCAGCCCCAGAGGCCTGGAGGCGCATCTGCCAGGCAGATGGTAACTCCGAGGGGGCAAGGTGCGTGAGAAGCGCTCATTATCCTAGCTCAGAGCCAGCAGCACCTGGTATCCTCCGGAGACCAGCACCGCTAGGGAGAGCCAAGCTAAGGTCATGCAGCCTGCCTGAGGCCAGGCTAGGAAACGTCCAGGTCACCTGCTCCAACCTGCTCTCCAGCAAGGGGTCCCATCAACATGGAAGGGGATATCAGGTGCACCCTTCTCCCCATCTAGAACTCTGAGTGGGTGGGGGGAGGAGGAGATGGGGGTGCTGTTTAGTGGGATAAGGTCTGGTAGAGAGGCTGCCTAAAAAGGCCCGGCCCACCACCCACCCCAAACTGTTAATGTGTAGATTGGTTTCCAGAGGTCAGACCCGTTAGTGGAGAGAAAAGGAAAGGGGCTGAGAGATGGGAGACAGGCAGTGTAGCCGGTGGACTAAGCATGACCTTTGGATTCAGGCCTGCGTTTGAATCCCAGCCCTGTCTTTTGCTAGTCATAAGAGGTTGGGCCGGGCATCTCCTGTAGTCTCCGCTATAAAATGGGGCACGTGGCTAACCAGCTGTCTGTCTGTGAGCCGCTCAGGCTAGTTATGAGGGAAAAAATGAAATGAGGTTTCTGGTGGCTGGCAGAGAGTGATGTGCAATCCACATGTGAGAAGCCACTTAGGAAGAGCGGCAGCACTCCTTCGCTCACCCGCATTTCCGAGCCATCAGAGCAGGGAGGATCCGCAGAGATTACCTAGCTCAGCCCTGTAATTTACATGTGGAGACGGGGAAGCCCAGAGGACGGGGACTACCCCAAACCCACAGCTTGCTGGGGCAGGGGCAGGCATCCAGGCTCTCTCTGCTCCACTCCACAAGCCGCCTTTCCCCATTCATTAGGGCTCTACTGCCTGTCTGCTCTGAGCTTAGCTTTGAGACCAAGAGCTGGAAGAGAAAACAAAAGCATAACAAGCAGGATGATAAAGTTACAAGAAGCTTTTACATTTGTATTATGCTATTCCCCCCCCCAAAGCATTTTTCACATCCATTATTGACCTTGCTTCTCAAAATAAATACCTTTTGAGATAGAGGAGAGGCTGCATCCCTGTTTAACTGATGTAGCAGAAAGAGGATAGATGACTTGCCCAAGGTCAGGGCTAATGAGGGAGCCTCGAGGAGTCGCTCTTCGCATCTGTGATTTCAGGTCCCTGGAGGGGAATCCCTGCAGTGGTGACAGCATGCGGGACTAGGACCACCCCACTCACCCCAGACGCTCCCACTGCTTCCTGGCTGCTGAGTGGCACAAAGCAATTTACTTGTCAAGCACCTGCCACAGTCCCACTGCACAGAAGATAAGCAGAAAGACACAGGGCTGCAGGAGTGACGAGAGAAAGCAGTTATAAACTGCAGCTGTCCTTATGTTTACCTTGCCTTGTCCAAATAAGGTTGACGGTGGCAGCACCCCACCCTCCTAACTCAGTCCCCACTCCTGTGTGAAACATGTACCCCTCCTGGCACATGGCTCTTGACAGTTTACAAAGTGTCTCTGTGGTACCTGTTTCCTGAATAATCAATCTTCAGAAGTGGGCAGGCCTGTGACTGTCGGGCCCATTTTATAGATGAGGTGGCTGAAGGTTGGGTGATGTCTCTAAGGTCACAAAGAAGTTCTGCGCTGGGAAATGTGAGTCGGCATGGCATCCCTCCGTCTCCTTCCCTCCCAGCTGTCATCGCTGCAGAGGCCTCACTCAGTTCTCTGTGTCTTGCAGCCTTCGGTGGGGCTTCTCTCTATCCTGAGTCAACACATGCTCTGGGATAACATTCTTGCCTTTCTGTCCCCACCTCAGAGGCCAAGAGGCTGGCTCAGGCCGGCTCCCTGGGGCTGAGTTAAAGATGTCAGATCCAGATGAAGGAATGGCCCAGGGAGGGCAGGATTGAAGGCCACCCTCCCTGGTGCCCAGCAAGGAAGCTTGGCAGTATGTGTTCTGGGCAGCAGTGCAGGTTGAAGGTCACTGGGACAGTCAAGCTTACATCTACGCTCTGCCTCTCTCTGTGATTCTTCTATCTGTGCCTCAGTTTCCTCTCCTATCAAATGGAGATAGTAATCGTTCCTACTCAGTGATTTATTGTGAAGAAGGAGATTATCCATGTAACATGCCCAGCACATAGCAAGTCCTCAATAAACGTAGTCATTATTAGCTATTGACTTTCTTTGTGGCTTTTAAGAAACTGCTTCTCGACTCTAGGCCTGGCTCTACATCATAAAATTAGAAACTTGGAGATCAGATCTTTTTAAGTTCTCCCAAATCTAAGATTTTTAAAAAATACCTCCTGGAGCAAAGGAGGGGAATCCCAGAGCCTTACGTCTCAGCTTCCCCCTCAAATTTCATCTAAAACTCCTTCACCAAACCCCAGGACTCTGACATTAAGAGCCGTAGGTCTAGCCCCTCACTACAGACTCAGCACAGATATTTCAGGACCAAAAATATGTATCTGAAGCTCCTGTGCCCTCCTGTGCCCCGGGCTCTTCTCTAGAGCTGGCAGGAGACAGAAAGGGAAGGTTGGCCCAGCAGGGCCCAGCATAGAATAGATGCCTTTGCTCCCACCCCTTCCTTCCTTTTGAGATGGGGAAACAGAGGCACAGACCGCAGCCTCAGACAGTGGTGGCAAGACTTCGGGAAGAATATGGCTGTTGGACATCCCAGCCCCAGGTGTGGCACCGGCTGGCAGGCCAAGCCCAGGCCCCCACAGAGATGGAGCCCTGGGAGTACCGAGCCTTGCCAGGGCTGGCTCAGACCCTAAACAGTCCTCCGGAAAGGCCAGGATGCAGCGCCAGGTCAGTGGCCAGCTGGTCACCTCCGGAGAGGCTAAGTGGCCACCCAGCAGGAATGATCAGTCCGAGCCAAGGCAGGATAAAACCGACAGGCACCACTGCCCCTCTCAGCTCAGTGACTGGAACTCAAGTATAGCCACCCTCCTCGAAGGGCAGGGCCTCTGCCCTGCACCCCACACACCATGACACACACACTGGTCCAGCGTGGAGAGCAGTAAGAACCGACTCCACTCACCACACAGTCTGTGGAGTTGTCCCCACCTTCCCAAGCCAACTCAAGCAGCACTTGTTCTTCATCTGTCCAATTACGAAGGCCCTTTCTCCAAATGAGATCTCACAAGAAAACTCAGTGGATGAAAACTGAAGGGTGTGCTGTGAGGGCTACAGGGGCTCTGAACCTCGCCCTCTGGGTGTCTCTGCCCACCCCATTGGTGACCAAAGAGTTGTCAAAGTTCTACAAAGTTCAGTTTGAAAAGTCCAGAGTTCATCAGTCCAACCCCCTCACCAGCTTCCAGGTGAGGAAACTGAGGCCCTAACGGGGAACGGTGGGGCCCAGGTCTGTCTACTCCTGGTCTCACGTCCTAGCACTGTGTCCCTTGTCATGCCCGGGATAGCATGTGAGAAGGAGCGGAGTTCCAGCAATGCACAATTTGTCATAACGTGGACTTTTATTAGAATGTGCT